TTTGGTTCTCTACATCTTGCACCAAAACAAGCTTAGGCAGGCTTGACTCAAGCGTAACATGCTGGTTGATTTGATGATTTGACCTAGAGTGGGAGTGCGAGCACGAGTGGGTTTTCTACCAGGGTACAGCTCTAAAGTTAAAGGAAGTAATTTCGGCACAAATAGAACTAAATGGGGTGTGATGAGATGACCGTTTACCTGTGAGACCTAGACTAGATCTAGTCAACTGGCAGGGTAAGCCACAGAAAACGATAAAAATTGATGGCCGAAATACGGCATCTACACTTGGGTCAATCACAGTACAGAGGTGTGCTAGGTGCTTGCTGTACTGCAGCTTCAAATACATCTAACAGAACACTGTTTGCTTGGCACTCCTGTACAATTGTCCCTTTTGCACTGGATCTAGAGTACCTGGCCCAACCCCCGACCACTTGTATTTTGCTTCTCAGCGGTCTCTGTCAGCAAAGGAAGTGGCTATTCTCACCTGAGAATAGAAATACGATCGACCTCTCACCCCGGGTGAGACCTGCCACCGTGGCGTAGGCTATTCTCACCCGGTGTGAAACAAGACCCGTTTTTCCTAATTTCAGAATACTTTCTATCGATGTGGATGATCAAATGGATAAAAGCAAAGAAAAGATTACATTATTATAGCACAAAAGTAAGGTAATTTGATCGTCTACAAAGATGCTATGGCTATTACTATTTCACTTTTCGAATTGAGCCGAACTACGACTACGGAGGTCGCCATTTTGTTTTGCCCGGAAGTTCTCGCAAGATCTACTCCTCCCCTCTTCTCTCTCTCTCTGAATACTGTCTATCGGTGTGGACGATCAAATTGACCAAAACAAAGTAAAAAAATGATGTCAAAACACAAAAGTAAATTAATGTGGTCTTCCGTCTACAAAGACGCTACGACTATTTAACTTTTCGAATCAAGCCGAACTACGCGTGTCGCCATTTTGTTTTGCTCGAAAGTTCTCTCTCTACTCCTCTCTCTCTCTCCTGCCCACAGACAAAATTGTACGCTTTTAGTAAGTAGGCTAACAATAGTAATGGAACGTTTGTTCACGACACAGAATTCTACAATTTTTCTGTTATCACAGTGTAGAATTCTGTGGTTTAGGGCGAACGCAAAATTGGTTGGCCAAGATCTAGGCTATAACAGTGAACGGACACCGGGTGAGAATAGCCAAAAGACTCGCCTGCGCTATTCTCACCCGGGGTGAGAATAGAGGAGGCCGTCAACAGAAAAGCCCAGGCAATCTATGTTCAGGGCCGCTTCAGTGTGTCAACTTCCGGTCTATACTGTGATATCGTCAATCATTCCAAAACGTCATTTGCAGATTTCGCATTTTAACATGTTAATGCTCTGCCCTTGGCGCGACCGCATACGGAACAGGGCGCGACCATGAGCGCACAGATATGACAGGTGCAAGAAAGTTGTTAGTACACCACTTAAAGGTTAGTAAAATCATTTCTTTATCAAATCATGATGAAAACAATTATCTTATTAATAACAGAGGGTATAGAGACAAGAGGTCGCGGGCTGGGCCAGCTACTCTACTCTAGTTTAGTAACTGAAGAAAACCTCTAAGAATGTTTGTGATAATATAAGCCTTTCACTTCGAACTCGACTCTTGGACTACCTGACGACTGACGTTCTCGGAAACGGATCGACCAAAAGTGGAACTAGACAAGGCAAGAAACTCTAATAAAACAGATTGCACACGAGCTGCACAGAAGGAAAAATGGGAGACCCCCCTGAACCCCCCCCTCCACCCCACATTCTCGCGCAATGATGTATTCGAGTGGTCCGGTAGTTCAAAGAAGATGGATGGTTTTTAGGTCAATCCTTGATTGGCCTGTTACTAAACCCTACCATGCTATTACCTATTAGTAGGTTTAGTGTTTCTCAGTAGGCTTATTATAGCACCACTGGCCTTATTAGCAGTGGGCTTTCTAGATCTAGATCTAGAATCTAGATCTAGAATCTACATAAACTTCTCATTTCGATCCTCTGCTGGCCTCTCTGCCTCTACAAACTGATGAAACTGAACAGGCTCAATCAGTCATCAGTCCTAATAATTTTAGTACATGGTCAAACCCTCCATCCCTGAAGATTCCTTTTATACCTAAAAAAAACAAGTTTCGAGCAGAAAGACTTGCAACAACGCTCCTTCAGTAGACGTTGGCTTACAATTTATAAACACACAGCAATCGGACAGGCAGTTCAACCATCCAGTCTGGTTAAAAATCAAGAAAGGACCAGCCTTAAAGAGAGTATTTCGCCTGAAAACGTTTGAGCCAACATTCAATAAGTGCATAAGCTTTAAAAAAAATCCCGATCTCCTTTCTAAATTGTGGATTACATTACGATTTTAAACATGGTTCTTAACAAATTTTCTACCAACCTCTCACAAATATAGAAACCGGAAGAAAGGATATGTTATCGTGTTCCGCTGCGCATGTGTAGTTGGAGATAACTCTAAAATACCAAACAAACCTTCTGTTAAATAGAGTTACGTGCTCTTGTCACTTATCATTTTTCGTCTTTGGCAAGGTTCGTCAACTCAATGCCTAGCCTAGGCCTTGGCTATGTCACAAAACTTAAAAAGTTGTGGGGAAAAAAAGTTAGGGAGAGACAACTGGAAATAAAATTGCTCACTTGTGACACTGCTAACTTTGCCAAGTTCCCCATAAGCCTAAGAAATTCTACCTGAGCAAGGGAAGGAATTGGAGTCGTTGGTGGGTATTTTGGTAGTTTGGCCTTTACTTTTACTAAGTCTCTGACTCTGTGACTATCTATGGCTATGGTCACTACTAGAATGTGATCCTTCGTTTCGACTTCGAGTTTTTGTGAGTTCGTCTGTAAAAATGAGACGCGTCTGTCAAAGTCAAAGTCAAAGGCAAACCGTTTTTACTTGTCAAAGTCAAAGGCAAACCGTTTTTACTTTTGAGAATGCATTTTGTATACACATGACATTATAATCCTTCGCCGACTAGAATCTAGATCTAGAATCTAGATCTAGATATATCTAGATATCTAATCTAGATCTAGATCTAATCTAGATTCTAGATCTATTTCTTCCTATTCCAGGCACAAAGTCTCAAAGTCAAGGAGATTTGGCCAGTTTTTATTGTATTTCCTTGATTAGGCCTTTATCTAGAGAAGTAGATTTAGAGGTGAAAGTCTAAAATCAAATTCAGGAACATTGTTTATCGAGTAATAAAAAAAAAAAGATATAAGGCATAATAAGGAGAGTTGGTGAGAATAACCCATGTCTCGCTAATCTCACCGCGAGTGAGAATTATAACCCATGTCTCGCTATTCTCTCCCCCCCCCCCCCCCTGGTGAGAATAGCTCCCACCCCGGTGTGGGCATGATGAGGCGAGGACTCCCCCCTGACCTCTCGCAGGCCAATAAAATCACCTAGGCCCATGGTGACTTGTGTGGACAGTGTGGTTGGGAACGAATAATTAATAATAATGTATGTAAAAACCTTTTTCGCCTCTCTAGTAAAAAAAAAAAAAAGGGCTCACTACCGATGCTACTGAGCGGGATGCAGGACAGGCCACCGGCCGGACTATTCGTTGTTTACACACTGACTTAACAATGGCAGGCCTCTCACTCTCTGCCTACTCACAATAAATTATGGTTCAAGGAACAGAGAGCGTGTACAAATGTAACGGGCACGAGACAATATATGCTCTTGTACGACGGTAGAAGGGTTGTAAATTATTACCAAATGGGCGAGGGCGTTAAATAGTGTTTACTAGTTTAATAATTTTATTTTTAGCAATCCAAGCCCTTTCCTTCACTTTGGAGTGTAGAGCTAAAAAAAAGCCAGAGAGCCCAATGAAATTCTCCGGGCCGGACGTGATCCAAAAGAGCCAACTGGGATTTTTAGCTCCAATCTGACAATCCTGATTGCGACTAGATCTATGTCTATTTGGACACCAATACGATCCTGTGGAGCATCAGCCCCGCTAACCTCAGCCCTGATCCCTCTAGGGTCATGTCCGGTAAAACAAGGGAGGGGGTGAGAATAGCGAGACATACCGGGTGAGAATAATGGCTTCCTTTTTCTTTGTTTGTGAGATTGAGATTATATAGATCTATTTGCTGCTGTTTATCTTTGGGTGTTATAACTATCACTCTGGCTCTTTACTATCACTCTGGCACGGGCATAGAGATTATCATGTCCCCTTCCCCCACCCCCTCTCTCTGTTTTCCATTTCCCCATTAAGTTCATTTATGATCGGTAGTTTGTCAAAGTTTAGGGCTGTGTTTTCTTGCAAGTTAAAAGGTGTGTTAAGAGTCATTACAGTCGACAAGTATTTTTTATAGTCTGAGGTTTTAACTTGAGACGACTGCTATAATGGTAGGAACAGCAGAGTCTATATCTTTTATATATCGAAGTGTATACAGACTCGGTAACCGGGAACAAAGTCACAAAGTATACAGACCCTGTAGGGGAGAAAACAAAACAATTAAAAAAAAATCAGCGCCCAGACCCGGTAATGTGTGTGTGTGTGTCTGTGTGTGTGTGTGTGAGTTAGAGTGAGAGAGAGAGAGAGAGAGAGAGAGAGAGAGAGAGAGAGAGAGAGAGAGAGAGAGAGAGAGAGAGAGAGAGAGAGAGAGAGAGAGAGATTATGACATTGTTCTTTTCTTCAAATTGTGATTTCTCCAACACCAAAACAGGGGAAAAACGATCGTTCATCGAAAAGACATCCGCAATCTTCATTTAGTTTTAGATCTAGAATCTTGATCTAGGTCTACAGTCTAGATCTAGGCTAGCCTCGAAACTAGATCAATGATTTATATCTGTCTGTCTAGATCTAGACCTAGGCCATAGATCTAGAAGAACCTAGTTCTACCCTGAGCCAAGAGGGTGCTGAAAGTTTCCGAAATCACAAAAGAGTTCCCTTACCGGGTCTGTATACTTTGTGACTTTATTCCCGGTTACCGGGTCTGTATACACTCCCTTTATACATACATACATACATACATACATACATGCATACATACATACATACATACATACATAT